CTCCTATACATTTGGGTCAGCTTTTATCCTACGTATAGAAATGAGATTCACAACAGCACTGCACGAGAAATCGATAGTTGGAAGAAAAGAAATAGAGAAACTGTACTGAATCGATGTCTAGGTCATACTTGATCATTCTGTCCGACAAACTCTATACATCTTATGGTCTGTCAAAAACTTTTATGTACTCTCTTATGCTCCATGTTTTATTTTTTCCAACTCACATACTCTCCCTGTTTCAATTTTTTTTAAAAATTTCTTGTAAAACTTTATGGTTTAGTTTGTTCATTTCTCGTAAACCATATGGCTCAGTTTGTTCATTTCTCGTAAACCATATGGCTCAGTTTGTTCATTTCTCGTAAACCATATGGCTCAGTTTGTTCATTTCTCGTAAACCATATGGCTTAGTTTGTTCATTTCTCGTAAACCATATGGTTCAGTTTGTTCATTTCTCGTAAACCATATGGTTCAGTTTGTTCATTTCTCCTAAACCATATGGCTCAGTTTGTTCATTTCTCGTAAACCATATGGCTCAGTTTGTTCATTTCTCCTAAACCATATGGCTCAGTTTGTTCATTTCTCGTAAACCATATGGCTTAGTTTGTTCATTTCTCGTAAACCATATGGCTCAGTTTGTTCATTTCTCGTAAACCATATGGCTCAGTTTGTTCATTTCGCATACACTTTAAGGTTCAGTTCGTTCAATTCTCGTACACTCTATGGTTCAGTTTGTTCCTTTCCCGTACACTCCATGGTTCCATTTGTTAAATTCTTGTACACTCCATGGTTAAGTTTGTTCATTTCTCGTACACTATAGGTTTCAGTTTGTTCTTGTGCACATGCCAATGTGTGCTATATGGCATATGGGATCATGCAACTATGATATGATCGCTAGACCATAACGCCATGCGAACTAATTTTTGACGATTTCAACGATAGAAATTATACCAATTATTATTATTCATATATATATATATATATATATATATATATATATATATATATATATATACTTACTTATAATAAGGATAATCTCATATTTGAACTGCATTTACACAAATGAAGTGATCTTGATCTTTACTGTTGCACATATACTGAATATTTGTCAAACCTGAAATTCACATTTCGTTATTTTGACATGTAACGCATGCAGCAATTAGGTCAGCCATTATTCTC